CAAATGTTCAACATTATGGGTTGACATAAATGACAACAATGTTTAGTTATCATTTTATTTTGTCGATTAGGACAAATGATCAACATTATGGGTTGACATAAATGACAACAGTGTTTAGTTATCATTTTGTCCATTAGGACAAATGTTCAACATTATGGGTTGACAGAAATGACAACAGTTATCATTTTGTCCATTAGGACAAATGTTCAACATTATGGGTTGACATAAATGACAACAGTGTTTAGTTATCATTTTGTCCATTAGGACAAATGTTCAACATTATGGGTTGACATAAATGACAACAATGTTTAGTTATCATTTTGTCCATTAGGACACATGTTCAACATTATGGGTTGACATAAATGACAACAGTGTTTAGTTATTATTTTGTCGATTAGGACAAATGTTCAACATTATTGGTTGACATAAATGACAACAATGTTTAGTTATCATTTTGTCGATTAGGACAAATGTTCAACATTATGGTTGGACACAAATTACAAGTTTTTAAGTTATACCCTGCATTGTCATTTTATCCATTAGGATGAATATACAGCACTATGGGCAGGAAGAGAAAATTAAATGGGCAGGAGCTCATTGACAAATGAGGACACTCTTCAAGCATGTGTGAAGGGAGGAGATGAAGTGTTAGGGGAGGATGTTGGACTAAGTGTTTTCTCTGGTATACATCTGGTATACATAGGGTAACAGAATAATAAGAAGCAAACATATCTTTTATTCCTATTCAATTGATCTTATAAACATTTTAAAACTAAACAGTGAACTCTTGCTTATTAACACTCAATAGCATATATGTTATTTTTTTACTGTAAAGACCCACAAGTCTTTGTGTTCCATTTATTAGTTGTTAGTAGTTGTTTACAATTTTTTATGACAGAGAAAAGGGAACGTAGTAGTACTACAGCATGTGGGGGAAACAAAAGGGCTTTAAAACATGTAAACATATATATCATTCATTATTAAATTTATAAAGTTACTTTCTGAAAAAAGAAATAACTCCTATTTAAACAACATTTCTAACATTCTTATCCTACCTCATGAAGAAACTTTTTATCAAATATTGGTCCAAAAGTGAGATTCTGATTAGTTGGTGTTATGTATCTTATGGGCTCTCCTCCAACTCTGGTGATAATCATTTGTTCTGTTCGATAGAATGGTCTATGTGGAATTTAAGAACTTTATATTAGTTCAGTACAGCATATAACTGTGGATATATACTATTTACATATATAATGGTTGTAACAGTAGAAAAATAAAACTGTAAAGTATTAGTACAAAATCTATGGCAGGAAACCTTCTTATAATATGGATATTTTGGATGAGAGAGAGTGAATTCAATAAATACTATATCTACCAATGAACATTCATAAGAAAAAATTCAAATCAGTAAGACTGATAGAGAGAGTACAGAGCAAGCAGGAAAGCACAGACAATAAACACAATGGTAAAACAAATTCTGTTGATGAACATCCAAAACACGTATGTACTTTTTTTTTTAATCAACTTTACCATGTTTGTCTACTGACTACACAGATGTATATATATAAAATAGACAAAATCTAAACCGAGCTTTTCTATGGTAATAGTAATAAGTATCAAACAATATATTCATAACAATGAAAAAGACTACAGCACTGAAAGAGTACATTAAAACAAAGAAACCAAAACCACTTGAACAAATTCTTCTAAAAGCACAATAATTATTGTATTTGAAAAAGGTGTGTGTGCTATTAGTCCTCACTGACTGCTAATGCTCAGGAGTGTGGTTAGTACTCAATAAATATATACTTATATGATGCACCTAAACATAGCAGGAGAAAAGATAAAGTGAATCTATGTTGTCTCAACTATATATTAATATTATATAACTAAAATTACCCGAGTTGCCAACTCAATGGTTAGTATCAATCAAATAAAACCATTTATGAGAAATATTTAAGATACTTAAAACACAAAGCATAACAGTGTCAGTTTGTTAGAAATACAAGTTCTACAAGTACAGTTATAAAGCATTAACCATTTCTGACAGTTTTATATATACAATCATTAAACAGTTGGACTGCTGTATAATACTGAATAATGAATTCGACAAAATGTCATAACATTATTCACTTACCTAAATTAATTTAAGTTACTACAGACTCAAAATTCCATAGACAGTGTTTTAACTTAAATTTGAAAGTGGAAATTTCCACCTGTGTTTTCAGATAACTTACAGGGCCCGAAACTAATGTTTTTGGCCACCAGCAATGTTTGCTAATTAGTTTAAAATGCTACCATGTTAAAAAAAAAAGACAACAAGCATGTGATTAAAGAATATAACTAATGAGCTTTTCCAGAATTCATCAGCTTCTTGATTTCACTTTTTTTAAATCACTGTAAACTTTTATATCCTTCTTAATGTAAAAAGGATATAAAAAATATGAAACAAACCATTTTTACCTGTCATTTCAAACTCAAGATGTATTAAAGTGATGTGAAACAAGTTACAAGAAAATGTTAATTGAAAAATACCATAGAGTATTTTTTCCTATACATATTTCATGCTTTTTTAAAAAACAAAACTCTGACGTTAATGACGCATAACCATGTCTGGATTATCAAAAAAATGCTAGATCCCCCTTATGGTCACTGATTAAACACTAAAACCTCCTGCTATTTTGTCAGCTAGCTATTACTAATTTGGGACCTGATTTATGGTTTAGAATGAATTACCAGTTCTTTGTTGAATAATGATACTAATTCTATATTCTTACAATTCATACAACAGAAGAAATCTTACTGAAAATGAGAATTGAAATAGTCCCTTTCTTTTCTGGCTTCACTCTGCTTTGCAGACCACAATTCCACAGGATCTGACATGACAGTAAATAACAACAGACCACAGGAAAACACAGCCACTAAGACAGCACCACAAAACAGTACTAGGACTGGGTGTGAAGCACAACATGTTCCCATATATACAAAGCAATCTTCCAGTCTTGATTCTAAGTATACTCCTACTTTTACTAGAGTATTATTACTATAATCATGGAATGGATGTACTGCCCCTTCCTCCTGAGGAGTCACTTCACTGCTGTCTAGCAAGTTGTCTGTATCTGGGAGATAAAATACATAGATTAATCTAGTAAAGTATCAGTTTACAAACAAATACTACTCTAATAACGAATGATTTACTCAAGGGTAACTCTATAAATATATGTATTACTTGTCTACATATATAAAATATCAAAATAATTTTTTGGATAAAGAAAAATGATTAGCTGTGTTACACATGAAATGTGCTGCTACACACACAAAAACTGAAGGAAAAACTAGTCTTCTGTGAAATGTTTTGATTATACAAAAGATCAATTGGGAAAAGGAAACAAAAGCAGCTAGTGTGCCGAAAGGAGTGGAAAAATCTAACAATACAACTATGATTTTATTTTTGTTGAAAGATTTAACAATATAATTAATATTTTGTTGTTGTTGAAAGATTTAACAATATAATTGATTTTTGCTGTTGAAAGGTTTAACAATATAACTGATTTTTGCTGTTGTTGTTGAAAGATTTAACAACATAACTGATTTTTGCTGTTCTTGTTGAAAGATTTAACAACATAACTGATTTTTGCTGTTCTTGTTGAAAGATTTAACAACATAACTGATTTTTGCTGTTGTTGAAAGATTTAACAATATAACTGATTTTTTTGTTATTGTTGAAAGATTTAACAATATAACTGATTTTTTTGTTGTTGTTGAAAGATTTAACAATATAACTGATTTTTGTTGTTGTTGTTGAAAAATTTAATAATATAACTGATTTTTTTGTTGTTGTTGAAAGATTTAACAATATAACTGATTTTTTTTTGCTGAAAGATTTAACAATATAACTTTGATTTTTCTTGTTAAATTAAAAAGGGATGTCAACTTCAATAAAATCATTCTATTCTCACAACTCTGACAGTTTACTTACAGTTTGGTGATATTACTCATGTGTTAATACATTATCTTGTAGTTAAGTGTAACAATGAAATTGTTGAAGATAGCACACAAGTTTAAGTCTATGTAGATAACACCCTCTCAATACAATGATAATGTTGAACGTAGCACATAAGTTTAAGTCTATGTAGATAACACCCTCTCAGTACAATGATAATATTGAATGTAGCACACAAGTTTAAGTCTATGTAGATAACACACTCTCAGTACAATGATAATGTTGAACGTAGCACATAAGTTTAAGTCTATGTAGATAACACCCTCTCAATACAATGATAATGTTGAACGTAGCACATAAGTTTAAGTCTATGTAGATAACACCCTCTCAATACAATGATAATGTTGAACGTAGCACACAAGTTTAAGTCTATGTAGATAACACCCTTACAGTACTAACAGTTATGGGAAAAAATTATTAGTACCAAGGAACATAATACAAATATTATAGGTTAAAAATATATAGATGCATTCTCTTGCAGTACTGGTAGTTATGAAAAAGAATCTAGACAAACCCTACATATGTAATAAAGAAAACAATTACTATATTGTAGGTTAAACATATATGGATGGTATAATTTCACAAGCACTACATTCATCATCTTACAGTCATAATAACTATAGAGGGTCCTAAGATTTATACATAATGGACTTCTTCTAATCCTTAGATTTCACTAGTATGCAAGTCTTGTGAAACATCAACAAGTTACGCTTTATTTCCTTCAAAAATTACAATGAGATATTTTTCATTTTAACACCTGAAACATTATAAGGGTGAAAGCTTTATTATTACACTCTCCAGTTTACATAACTAGACCTGAACTCACCCTGAAACATTATAAGGGTGAAAGCTTTATTATTACACTCTCCAGTTTACATAACTAGACCTGAACTCACCCTGAAACACTACAACAGTGAAAGCTTTATTATTACACTCTCCAGTTTACATAACTAGACCTGAACTCACCCTGAAACACTACAACGGCCGTTGTAGTGTTTCAGGGTGAGTTCAGGTCTAGTTATGTAAACTGGAGAGTGTAATAATAAAGCTTTCATTCAGGTCTAGTTATGTAAACTGGAGAGTGTAATAATAAAGCTTTCACTCACCCTGAAACACCACAGTAGTGGCAACTTTATTATTGTTCTCTCTCCAGTGTACATAACTAGAATTTAATTTACCCTGAAACACTCAACAGTGAAAGTTTTATTATTAATCTGACCTTACCTTCTTCCCTTTTTCCAAGTAGAGTACTCAAGACAAAACCGATCACCACTGCTATAACAGTTGCAATGAAAACAAAGCTCATAACCACCCACATTCCTGGTATCCCCCAAACATGCCATTCAAGTGGAGGTGGAGGAAAAGTAGGAAACATGGGGGTATCACAACTTGCAGGACAGTCTACACAGCTGCAAGCCTCACCACGAGGAGTAACTGCTTGAGAGCATGGAATAATGTGTGTGTCCATTGGCAAGTAAGTTTGATTTCCAACATGTACTGGTCCTTCATAATACTTAAAGTTTATTTGAAAAGGTGAAGGGTCATGAGTTCCCATAAACTCTAACCAGTGACGTGGAGTGCACTTATCACCCCATTTACCACACAGAACAATGATAGCTCTAATATTTCCTGAGGGTAACTGCACATTTTCACAGTTGGCATATAGGCCTACAGAGAAAGCATCTGTTATGTAGTAACTTATTTCAGTGACCATTTCCTTGCCTTGGCTAGTTTCATTTGTTTTGGTAACCTATAATAAGAGGGAAAAAAAAACATTTTTTACTATATCTTCAATCTGAGCAAAGACACATTTAAAGATACAGAAGAATACTGAAGATGAAGGTTAAATAAAACATTTAAACACAATATTAACAAGGCTTTAGGAAACACAAGCTGATGCCCCATTTATGTAATTATGTATGTTAAAACTAGGAAATGACATTTTTAGAACATGAATTAAAAAATGGGAACAAGTTTCTTTTTTGAGTTGAGTTCTGAGTATCAACCCCAGAGCCTGTGCTAACAGACACTAACTTCTCATGTGGAAATCCACTGCCTAATGGAAAGTGAAACACTTTTTTTCTGACATAACCAGTAGTTTTCTTACTACATACTGTCTTAATGATTCCCCATCTTTTGCTTGTCATTTCCTCATTTAGCTTTAGCACTGCATAGCTTGGCACATAAATCCAGGTGATGGTCTTACTATGTAGTTGCTTTAATTTCTACCATCCATCTGGGGACCAACACTCTGAAATTTTAAGAAGTTCTGAGTGTGAATCAGTCACAAATATTATGTTGGTCTATTTGTGGTTTGTTGCTTTCAGCACTCTAGAGGAGAGCTTGCTTTACAGTTTCCACATCCACCCTTGTGTCGCTTGTGTGAAATTTGTATGCTCCATCAGCCTTATGCAGTTGTTGTTCCCCAAGGAGATAAATGCCATGCCAGATTTCTCACTGTCTTTGGTGTAAGAACTATCTTTTGCTATGATGACAGATTACTGTCTATCATGGTCTTTAAGTAGGTTCTGATAGGCTTTTCTATTTCAATCTCTATACTTTCTGTTTAAGCTAATTTCCAAAGATCCCACATCAATCAGTGTTACATGAATTAATCAGTAATCAAAATTAGCATTTTTGATTATTTCACCAATTGATTAATCAAAATTACAGTTATATCAATTCTCACAAAAGTAATTAATAGATATAATCTCTGCTGACATAAAAACAACTGATAAAAGGCATCCAGAAGAGTCCAAAATGAGCCATACAAGTTGATTAAAATGACGGATTTGGGAAATTGATCTCAGCTACCAGTATTTTTACAATAATGTTACAAAGAGGAAGTGCGTGAAAGTTTCTATTTTTATTTCAAGCACTGGAGTTACAGAGGAGCAATATTCTTGCTTATTGATGATTTTTTCATCACAAACAATCTTTCTTGGATTAATTGTGTTGGGGTATGCACCGATAAGGAGGTGCATTTAAGAAAAAAAGAAAGGGTTTAGACCTAAAGTAAATGCTCTTGCTCAATATGTAACATTTACACATTGCTTCATACACAGGGAAACTCTAGCTTCAAAGAAAGTGCAACCCAAAGTAAACAAAGTTGTGAAATCAAGAGCTCCAAACAGCAGACTGTTTTCCATTCTTTGTGGAGAAATGTGATCCATGTAAAAGCTCCTGCTGCACAGATTGTCTCATGGGAAGGTACTCAGTTGCACCTAACAGCTGAAAAAATTTATTTTTTTTGCTACACTGCAACTCCACACTAACAACACATTTTATGGATACTTCTAGTATTGTACTATTTACCTCATATTTTGATAACCTCACCAATCTTGCAGCTCAGTGACAAAGTGTCTGCATTTCGCAAATAAATTGTCCTGTGGTAAAAACCAGTATCAAAATGGAAACTGTGAAATGCTTCCATGTCTCAAAGAAATCTTGGAAGAAAATTAGTAAAATCACAGTGTTATTTGTGACATTGTTTCTATTCATCTCAAAAACCTTCAGTGTTAATCTGCAGATCAATCCAAGAATCAATGGGAGAACATGAATAGTTTTGAAATCCATTTAATGGTAGCATAACTTTTCACCTGCCAAGGTCAGTTGAAGACAAGCCCATAAATTTCCAGTGATAAAACTCTTTAGGAAGAATTCAAGTTAAAACCTAGGTACTTCTGGATGCTGGTTCACAAAGAATACTCTGACCTGTCAAGAAAAGTGATGAATGTGCTTTTGTCTTTCACATCAATGAATCTATGTGAGTCAGTATTTTCTGCTCTGACAGAAATGAAAAAGAAAATAGCATTCTCATCTGCAAGTAGAGGGGAATCTCCGAGTTGCTGTGTCAACAATTCAACCAAGAACAGATCTCATCTTATTCCAAACTCAAGTCCATCCTATAAACTAAATTGCCAAATAAACTGAAACTGTTTGCCACATCAAGAAGTATTTTATTTATATATGGGGTTTAGAGAGGGGATGCCGTGATGCATGTTTAGAGAGGGGATGCCATGAAAAGGTTTGCACATCACTGCACAGTGATATAGATATATATATATATGTTATATCATCAGAACAGATATTATGTTCACCATGTAATATGTATATAAATTATTCAGTATGACTAAAGCAGTTACAAAATAAGAAATGAGGGTTCAATAAGAGGAAAAAAAGTGTACAGTTTACATTACTAGACATTCATAATCTAATTATTCTTAAGTTAACTAAACTTTCTTAATACTCCATTTAAATGGTATAGATGTAATTTAAAAATTAAAATTCAGTGACCTCAAACCAAGTTGTTATGTAAGCAAAATGTTATAAGAACTGTTAATACCTGAATAAATGAACTTTGATCTGGAGAACAAGTCATCATACAAAATAAGTTGGCCAAATTGGTAAAACAGGATGGACAGCGTTGAAGTAGAAGAGCTAGTGGTCCCTTTAATTGATCGCCCAGAGATGATAATTGATACTCATCACAGCATACAGGACTATCAAAATCTATGGCAAACAAAATCATATACTTGTATTCTACCAAATAAATAATAAGATTATTCACTTAGATAACTCTGTTTTACTTTTTGCAACTATTGGGTTTTAAATAACACTATATTTTCACATTTTTGAAAAAAAATTCATTCAAAATAACAATACTTCAGAAAAGTATGAGAGTTTCAAGTCTGAAGTGGAGAATTGTATTCATTGTTAAAAAAACAAAAAACATGACCCATTACTCCAGAAAACATAACTGGTTTCACTTAAGCCAAAATTTCACCAATATGGCTTCAGAGAGCCAAACAAGATATTTGTTAACTCATTTAAGCTTATAGAAAAGATTTAAAAATAATTTGAGTGTTTGCAATAAGGTGTACTTTACACAATAACATATATATATAAGCAAATGTTGTAAAATTATATTGTTATACATTGTGAAATTGAACGTACATGCAAACAGATAAAATTATACTATTTAAAGCACACATATATTATTATACTAATTAAATACAAACAGTAATAATTAAAAAGTCCAAAGTGATTTTTTGTTTAACTGTGGCTTGCTAATTCTCTAAAATTAATAATTCTTCTTTGAAATTGCTATCTAGAAAACTGGAGCAGTGAGTAAGAATGTTTGCTGTTATCAATTATATCGTTTGTCAACAAAATCTTCAGCCACCGACTTTACTGTCAGATGTATTCAGAGCTCAAAGGTGTTCCTTAATAGTTCTACCCGTTTCACCAATATAATATATATATATATCCAGAACCAGAAAGTTTGTAACTATATACTGTGGTTACAGTTTCTCTTTAAAACTGATTCACAACCTGCACAATTGTCTGTGGGTTTACTGCAGAAAATCCTCATGAAGTATATTACAAGTAAGGGAATTTCTAGATTTTAATAATTAGTAGTGCAAAATTCACTGAAAAATACATTATGAGACTGTAGAAGATGATCATGTAGTAGTTATGGAGAAAAGTAATCATGTTATAGGACTGGAGGAAGGTGATCATGTTATAGGACTGGAGGAAGGTAATCATGTTATAAGACTGGAGGAAAGTAATCATGTTATAGGACTGGAGAAGGTGATCATGTAGTAGTTATGGAGAAATGTGATCATGTTATAGGACTGGAGGAAGGTGATCATGTTATAGGATTGGAGGAAGTTAATCATGTTATAGGACTGGAGGAAGGTAATCATGTTATAGGACTGGAGAAGGTGATCATGTAGTAGTTATGGAGAAAGGTGATCATGTTATAGGACTGGAGAAGGTGATCATGTAGTAGTTATGGAGAAATGTGATCATGTTATAGGACTGGAGGAAGGTAATCATGTTATAGGACTGGTGGAAGATAATCATGTAGTATTTATGGAGAAAGGTAATCATGTTATAGGACTGGAGGAAGCTAATCATGTAGTAGTTATGAAGGAAGGTGATCATGTTATAGGACTGGAGGAAGGTAATCATGTTATAGGAGTGGAGGAAAGTAATCATGTAGTAGTTATGGAGAAAGGAAATCATGTTATAGGACTGGAGGAAAGTAATTATGTTATCTAGAATGTTTTGAAAGGCAGACCTTTTTCCATCAAGGGTATTTTTTATTAACATTAAATTAAGATTTCAGTAAAATAATTATTGTTACAATGTAGCACTGAACATTATATTAACATTACTGTGACACATATCAGGGGTCAAAATCTGCCTCATCACGTTTCAGTTAAATTACTTGTTACAATGAGCAGAGTATCAACATTACTGTGATAAATCACATCCCTAAGGTCAATACCCATCTTTTCACATTTCAATAAAATGTTTGGATATATTATATATGAAAATTTCAAAAAACTCACAAGTTGCATAAAAAACCTGTCAGTACAATTTTATTTTAAATTCAAAAACAAATTAAGTTTGCATTATTTTAACCAAAAAATTAACTGATTTCTAATCTTTCTCTAACCTGTTTTAAAAGCCTTGCCACATAGCTGATGAAGTAGTTTGACACTTGTCTCATTTCTAAGAGGCTTAGCAGGAACAGAACTGGCACATGGAGCTTTTAGATTAGTGACTGGATCCACACCACATTCTGTGTTCATCACACATTGTCCTGTTTCTCCTTCTACCTATTAACACAGATGGAGTTGTTACAAAATAAAACTTTGTCTTTCAGTGTATGCATATATCCAAGTTGTACGAGATGGTTCATACTGACTGTTATCAGTGAATGTAACTATAAGAAAACATTTTAGTTATCTTCCCTTTAATACATAACTGTTAGTGTAATTCCTCTATAATAATACTCTAACTTGTATGTACTTATAACATATCTTACTTTTCACTCATTTAGTGATGTTACTTTGACTTAAACTCATGCAGTAGTCAGGGAGTATGATGTTACTTTTACTCCTCACTCATTCAACAGTCAGGGGAGTGATGTTACATTTACTCCTCACTCATTCAACAGCCAGGGGAGTGATGTTACATTTACTCCTCACTCATTCAACAGCCAGAGGAGTGATGTTACATTTACTCCTCACTCATTCAACAGCCAGGGGAGTGATGTTACATTTACTCCTCACTCATTCAACAGCCAGAGGAGTGATGTTACATTTACTCCTCACTTATTCAAGAGTCAGGGGAGTGATGTTACTTTTATTCTTCACTCATCCAATTGTTAGAGGAGTGATGCTTAAGGTTTATAAAAACTGATTAAATTTGTGGTTTAATCATCTTCAAACACTACCGCCATACTAGGGCTCAATTTTAACAGTCATCTGAGACAACTAAAAAATTCCTTGGACAACTAACTTAAGCCTCCATGTTGTCCGACAGATGAATAGTGCCCAGGACAGACTCTTACTCAAGACAGCATCACAATTTCCTGTACACTTATCCATGCCCACACTACACGCGTAATGTTGACTCCACTCCTTGACCAAAATCATCAGTAAATTCCCTAATTACAAACTCAAATATTTGAAGCCCACAAGAAAATATCTTTCAGTCCTTTTTTTTTGTTTAAAAAAGACTGTAGTTTGTACAAAAGAAATGTTGGTACAATCCACTAAAAGGGGATGAAAACATTAGGAAAAAGTTTGCTTTTTTGATTGGCTAATAATACTGTGTTAGTCACTATACTTTCTATCATGGACAAGCTGCACATAAATTTTGTATGGAGTTCAACTAAGTGTGAATGGCTATGAGTAATAATACATTATAATGTATATGGCTCAGTTAGTTACATTATCACACCATTGTTTTTACAAGTTACAGCTTTAACAGTATGTAAGATATTTTTAAAACAGGCATGATGTTTCATTTACTGGTGTGATCATTCTCAAGTACACAAGTTTTAATGGTAAAAAAACGTTTAGCATTTAAATCAACATTCAACCAAATGTAAAAAAAAAATTGTAAAAAGAAATATATATATATATATATATATATATATATATATAT